CAGTTGACAGCTCCAGTTTACTAATAATAAAAATGAAATACAGGAGCTTTAATGGTGTGAAGTCAGTGAAGCCTGATCAATTTCTGACGCAATAGCCTAATGTTTAAGTGTTATAATTAACGTATAATATAGGATGTAGTTTTCGACTGAATGATAAAGCCTTGCATTTATATTAATATTAAGTTGATTGTTAGAGCACTATAAGTAGATAAAGTTTACGCAGTTTTGTAGCAGAATGCAGTCATTGAGACTACTAATAACAGCACATTTGCAAATCATCAGCATGAAGTAGTTGCATGCATTGCATTATGAACAACAAATGTGCTAAATTGGACCACTGAGGTACACTAGATATTGCTGTAGAAGTCTTGGATGATAGTCGCCATATTCCACGTACATGCACCTTTCCATGATATATTTGACTTTATGAGAAGCACTAAAGGGTCTGACAAGCCAGCAGATTCGAGCTTATAGCAAGTAGTGATCTATTTGATCAAAGGCCTTTTGAATGTCCGTGTATATGACATCCAATTGACCTTGATCATCTAAGACCTCAGAAATGTTTTGTGTAAAACAAGTCAACTTTGTGACGGTTGACCTCCCAGACATAAACCCACGCTGATTGTCAGAAATAGATCTCCACAGAGATCCATACAAGACATCGAATATTAGAAACTTAAAAATTTTGCTAAAGTTACAAAGTATTGCTATTTGCCTATCGCTGACATCACCATTATACAGATCGATGGGTATGTACAATGCTGATAGATTTAGATTTAACATCGCACAAAGAGGTTTGGTCAACACATAAATACAATCTTTTTCTGTCAAACTGGGAACACCATATTCGTCACAACAGCGCAGTTACGGCGTGTTGTCTGACATTTTGATAGTCACTACGTTTATGCCGCCCAGCAAATATGGTCGAAGTTGACGAATTTCATCTTCTTGAAAGTCCTACTGTTGCTAAATAGTGGGAAACAGAGCACGTCAGTCCTCTATTTTCTAGTAGAGATGGCAAGTGAGAGATTGCACAGTAGGTTGTTCTGCAACACAGCAGTTATCAATCAAACGCAAAAAGAAGCAAGGTCGTATGAAAAAACAAATCAGTTTGAACACTGATATGGTTCTGACGACGGCGTGCACATTCTGACGAGCTCGTAGCCGCCAGTATAAGCACGCTCATTAAAAAACAGGTGTTCATTTCGTATGATCGGAATTCGTCAGAACAAAATTTTGCTAGAATTCGCATACCTAGTAAGTGTAGCCTGAGGATGATGAGGATCTTAACGGGGCGACTCTTATACATTCAGTGTGTTCGCAAATTCAACTTCTTGATCGTAGTGATATCAAAAGCGTTTTGGCTTAGCTGTCCAGCAGTGACTTTTCGGTTTAGAGGAAAGGAACCAAATTTGAGACAAGCACCTAATTTGAGACAGTGGAGTAACTTTCTATCTTTGTAGCACCATATTGTAGTAATATCAAAAAGTTGTGAACTGAGACGCAGTAGTATTCTACATATGTTTAGAGTTTAGCTTTGCACATGGTTTGAGGTGACATCACAACTTTTTACTTCTTGAGAGTTAATAATAATTTTAATAGTGTGAGAAAAGTGATTACTAAAATTAAGGTAAGTTACTTAGAACAGTTGTCTGATATAATTTTAGTAGGTTGCAAATATCTTATCTATTTTATTTTACAATATTGTGATTTTATCAGGTATATAACCTGAATATACTTGTGTAAAGTTTTCAACGGAAAATTCCTAATTTGAGATACCCAAGTGTACAGCTGTAAAGAATAAGGAGATAGCTTATTTAAAAGCCTCAGAAGGATTCGTATAGATGCCTCCTCCCTCCAGTTCAAGTTCAGAATGCAGCGGAAGCTTTAAGTTGGATGATTCATCTTCAGACGAAAGCGGTGAAAGCGATGCTGAATGTTTATTTTGTACTGGTCAATTTTCCGAAGATAAGAAGGGTGAAAAATGGGCAAAATGCAACCATTGTTATAGATGAGCACAGGCAGATCGTGAAGAGATTACCAATAAAATTTTGCACTTTCTGCAAAGGAAAGGGATTTTTTGAATAGTATCTCAAATGAGGGAACTAGCTGTAAATTCACAAAAATATTTACTTTTTTTTAAATATAGAGTAAAGTGGGGGAATTTGCCGCGCTGGGTAATACGCCGCAGTTTGTTTCTTCTAAGCCTATATTTGACAACAGTGTTCATCTTAACACATTAGTGTAAGGCAGCAATTATTTCTGAATCCTTCAGAAATCAGATTAATTTGTTTTTGAGGGAATATCGTCAGTGTAAAGGTAAGGACAGTTTAAAGAATATTATTAATTCAAGTTATACGTAGTGATAAAATCAGTTCCAACTTTAATAAGAGCATGCCAAAATACAATTCCCAACCTAACTCATTTTGTCGGAACAATCCGTTAAACGTATCTAAAATGGGTGTTGCGAATTTTTAAAGTACAATGTGGGGTAATACGCGTCATATTTTTTAACTGCGGCATATTACCCCGGGAGGCTGACAATTTTTTTTTGTTTTATTTCAGTTATAATCGAGATGCCTCGAACTTATGTTCGGAAAGATGTGAGGGCGTTATGGTCCGAAGAAGATCTTCGCAATGCTATTGAGGACCTTAGAAATGGTAGAGGATCAGTTCGCCAAATTAGTCGTGTATACAATGTTCCTGCCCGTACTTTAATGAGGAGGATGAGATCTGGAAATAAAAAAAATATTCCCAACAACTTTAATATTGATAAAAAGCAAGCTGGCCATGACTGGTTTGTTTCATTCATGCAGAGACATCAAGAATTGTCAATCCGAAAAGCTCAAGGAATGTCTATAGCTCGAGGTCAAGGCATGAATAAAGAGGAATGCGGACGATACTTTGATCTTTTGGGAAAAGTATTAACAGAAAATGATTTAATAAGCACTCCGAGAAAAATACTTAATATTGATGAGTGTGGGCTGCAACTAAACAATAACCCAGGTAAAGTTGTTGTCACTAAGGGCATCAAAACTGTAAACTGTGTCACGAGTTCTGAGAAAGGTGAGACAGTATCAGTAATAGCCTGTGTGAATGCAGAAGGTCATTTCCTTCCTCCCGTTTGTATTTTTAAAGGTAAGAAGAAAAAACAGGAATTTGAAGATGGCTTGCCTCCTGGCGGTAAAGTTATCATGAATGAAAAGTCGGCCTATGTAACGACAGACATTTTTAAAACATGGCTTCAAGACCACTTTATTGCAAGAAAGGAGCCAGGTAAAGTACGTCTCATTCTAGATGGCCACTCCTCGCATTGTTCGGATGTAGAGTTGTTAGATTTAGCTGCAAGTAACGATGTGTTAATATTGTGTTTACCAAGCCATATGACCCATTGGTTGCAGCCTCTAGATAGGTTCTTTTTCAAGCCTCTAAAGACATATTGGGCACAAGCATGTAACACCTGGATACATAATCATCCAGGTCGCAAATTAACTAGACTACAGTTTCCGGCACTCTTAAATATCGCATGGGGAAAGGCAGCGACAGTTCAAAACGGAGTTTCGGGTTTCAGAGCATGTGGTATCTATCCGTTTAATGGTACAATAATTCCAGATCATGCTTTTATTCAGCAAAATCCTGATCCAATTCCCAATAACGATAATTTAGAAGAAAACGTTAATGATGTCTTCTTTCCTAATGGTGCCGACAATAATAACACTGATGATCCTAACAACGGCGTCAATATTATTGATGATGTTGCAGTAATCTCCAAGACTAACAATCCATCATTTGAAGCGATTGCGCCTATTCCAGTCATGCCTGGGCCAAGTGGGTGTCAGAAAAGAAAACAACATGCTGAACTACTTACATCTCCAGAAATAATCGCAGAAAAACGAAACAAAAAAGAAAAAAAAGACAAAAAGGAAACTACAAAACTAAAACGCAAACAAGAAAAGGAAATAAAAGAAGCCGCTAAAGGGATGAAAGGTACACAGAAGACATTAAGTGTGAAAAAAAAAGTAATGCAAGGATTACTGATGGTACCAGTTCATCAGAAAGTGAATTGGAAGTGACTACAGTAGAAAGCGGAGATTCAGAATTGGAACATGATGAATCAGAATTTTGTGCCCAATGCGATGGATACTATTTTGACAAAAAAGGTCTCAAATGTGATTGGCTACAATGTTTGAAATGCTATAATTGGGTTCACGAGATATGTACTCCTTCAGACAAATATTGTGCAGATTGTGTCCCACGAAATCAACTAGCAAGTACCTCTAGAGCTCTGGAGATATAGCTTTTATTAGCCTATTTCGTTCGTTGTATTAATATTTTTCTTATGTTGTGAAAAATAAATAATTTTTCTAATTTCAAAAATTTTTGCATGTCTTGCGAGAAAAGCACGTTGCCATATTCCCCAACGCATGATGCCATATTACCCATGGGTTGGGGTAATATGGCCAAAGCGCATCATTCAACATTTTTGTTTCTAATCTTTCTTTATGAGGGAATATGGCAACGAGCGTTTCACGTCACATACCCATACATACACGCTCTAAGATGCCACCGTTGCCTTGCAGCTGAGTCAGTTGCTTGTTAGAATGTGAACGTAAGAAATTTATGTTGCCATATTACCCCATTTTACTCTACTTTATGTCAGTAAAAAGATATTATTTTTTTATTTTAGAGTATGCTAGGAGCATCAAATCGCAAATTTATTTAATAATATAGGCACGTTTAAAACAACAAGTACTTTACTTTTTCTTTTCAAAAAAAGTATCTCAAATTTTGTTCCTTTCCTCTATGATAAATTTACGACCAGCGAAATGAAACTGTGACATATACCTAACCTGTGAGCTATATATTTTGGAGGTTTAGCGTTTCTGCTGGCTGTAGAAAAAGAGGCAAGCTTGCTGGTTTTGTGATTGCTAGCTATCACTTCTAGATCTTAGAAATGAACGTAACCAAGTAAAGCTTTGTTAAATATTCATATAATATTTATTTTCTTTTTATTATCTTCTACAAACATGTACTTGTAGCTGTTATTCCGGTAGATAGTATTCAACGTAAATTTTCTTCCAGTTCATCCATTCTGCCAGTTGTGAAATCCATGATTGATGATGGTGAGAAATCAATCTCATCCTCAACATGAACTTTATGGAGTTTTTGTCCCAAATGAATTTCGTTTTTGCCTCCAACAGCCCCATGTTCGGAAAGTTTTCGTGATATAACTCTTCCACAAATTGGGATAAGGTAGCATCGTCTACAGAATACACATTTATAATATCCTCATGATGATCATAATGAATCAATTACCTTCTACCAGCTGGATATATCGCTCCAGTAGAACCTGCGTTTTAAAAGATTTATCTTTGTATTGCAGTTGAATTTCAATAGATACTTCCATTTTTCTTTGATAAATTCCAGCAGTTAAAAGTCAAAAAACATAAACACAGCTCCCAGTTCTCAACGGAAATCAAATCATTTTAGGTTGTGTTTCTGTCAAATTTGCTAATCTACCATAGATGGAATAGTCGACAGTGTGGTGAGGCATCTGATTAATATTCGAACAGTATATGAACGCACCTTGATTCAGAAAGATCAATTTACGAACACATTTTTTGACAGTTGGTGGAATGATTGTTTAAACGAAAGGAGTAGTTGCTGGAATCAGGACTAATGCTTATATGTGTACGAGCTTATTTCCCATAACCAGAAAGAACAAGATGCATTACGTCAGTCTCCGCAGCTAGCACATAAAGCACTACAATTAAATTATACGCAACAGTCGGCCTATGTATGTGTATATTCATAATATACAAGGCGATAAACGTTTACGATGCCCGATAAATACCCTGCAAGAGTAACGACTTCCCGTTTTCGCTCTGCTACGAAAGAAGCAGCAAAAAAGCTCGATCATTAGCAAAATACACATTACACACCCGCCGCTTGTCGTACGTACATACTAAGCCATTGTTTCTTCCATGGCTATGTCGATGGCGATAGCGGCGAATGCCATGGTTCGTTTGTATTAATTATAATAGCAGAGATCTTGGCATACTGATAAGGGCTTTCTCATTCTCACCCAAGTCCGCAAAATACGATGATAGGTCGAACATGGATTAGACTTAAGGAAAAAGTGGAGTCAAGTGGGTTGACTTTTCACTTCTCACGGAACGCTGTCATCAGTTTATGAAAGTCTATAATCAAATTCAAGTGGATAACCAAATTGAAATGGTATTTATCATTTTGGATTGGTATTTACCAATCCGTTCAAGCGAGTGTGGTTATCAGTTTGGTTATAAGATCCGTGGCGTCATGAATCAGCTGTTATATGTCATAGTTATCACCGCAAAATTGTGGTATTTACCCAACTCGGGAGTCGTTTTATATTTCTGATTATTGTTTGACATGTGACAAGTTAGAATTTTGCCGGGTATTGGATATTTTTATTGTACCTCAGCTTCATTTTTGGGAAACTTGTTGCAGGCTGACTTCAATTTTAGCATAAGAGAGCACCTTATTATTTATAATCATTACTGTTGTTGGGGACACTTTAAATCTAGTTCCTACGCTTAACAAAGTATCCTGTATAGCCATATACCACAAGAATATTAAAATATGGCCGTATAAACTCACTGGATGATGTCCACCTGTATACGGTTTTGTTAATATCTTTTTTCATCGCTTTTTCATCATTTCTGCTAAATCAATAAATATTTTCTTTGACATGCGGAAAAGTTTAGAGAATTGAAAGTTATCATAGCTACAAAGCCATGGTTCCATCAGTAAAAATTTTTTTCTGAAAAAAAAAACATTCCTCCCTTTAATATTATGAAAGTTTTCTTTTTTTCAACTTTCCATACCCCGTTGTAGACGAAAAAGCACCGATTATTAAGTGATAATAAAAATAATCAGAAATTATATACGCGCTTTTCTAAAATAAACCACTTGCAACAAACCGCGGTTAAAACCAACGCGTTCAAGCGATTCGAGTAACTGACGTCATCATCCCGTGTGTCATCTTGAGCCATATTATAACCGCGGTACATAATACGGAAATTTTGGTTATCCGCTTGGATTTGATTTATGTTTGGCTCAGATTAGCTTCTTTAGAAAGTTAACTACGAATATATATAACAAACAGGTAGATCAAGTTGATGAAATAGGCCCATACAATTAGTCTTCAGCCAGATAACAAGCAAAACCAACGTTGCAATTAGAATTCTGATGGGTAAACTGCTAGCAGCAGCTGCTACTTAGCTACAGGTCTATGTATTTCCTATATTTATTGCGCTTGACGTGGGTATCAAAAGGTCTTGAGGGCAAATCTATGTATGGCATGTGTTTAATAGGTGCCGGGGGTTAATAATAGACCGAAATTACAAGGACGTATTCCTGAACCAAATTCAAGTAAAAAAGTTCTCAAAAGTTGAAACAAAAATTTGAAAATAATGAATTTTGAGAACTTAGTCTTCATTCGCCTTTTTGAGGGACATGTATAATTATAATTCATCGAAATATTGAGCCTACTAAATTGAGTCCGTCCTTTAAGAAGACCGTTGCAAATCATCTGCATGCATTTGTGATATGTTACACAAAGTTATATATACATATATATATATATATATATATATATATATATATATATATATATATATATATATTTGAAAAACTGTAGACTCAGGTATAGGATGATATACATAGAATTGTTCAGAACCTCGTCTGGGATCCATTCAAAATAAGCAAGTTGGTATCAGCGCTGGCCGCAGCAGTAGACTCTTCGGTCTCCTGATCAGTCGCCGTGCGCTGTGCGGGTTCGAATCCCGTCCCAAGAGAAATTTTTCTCTTGGCTATTAATATTGTGATTGTCCCTAGGTGGTAGACGGTTTCTGACTGTCGAACGCAGAGGTACCACCTAGCGGATCTCGTAGGCGGGGCCAGAATGTGTGCATGTTACATTCAAACGTGTTCCCTCGCCGAGTCCGTGTGGCGTTCTCTCTTTCCCCTGTATCCCCCTATAGCTCTACGGTGTTTAGGCCTCAGGCCTTCGTGGTAGTTGGAATATAAAAAAAAGATTCCGGTATAACTGAAAGTGTCACCGTTTTGAAAATATTTTGCCCGAATTTACTAAAATCCCAAATTTTTCTTCGTGGGGCACCTTGAACGAATACCGAGTTTCCTAGTGTTTCTTCTCTCCACAGGCTGTAGGATGAGTTAATGATCAAAAAAATATTAGCGATGACTATTGAAGGGTTAATTAAATTGAAGAAAGCTTGGATTATTATTATTATGTTGTACATACTCTTGACTACTTCTACCATTGTAATCAGAATAATAGTAACAAATGAGGTAATATGAACTGTGCTATATGTATTAAACACCTAACAGATTTATGAATGTTTAATTATAATTGAATGTAAATGTGCGGCATGGAATAGTGTATGTATGTACTATTTCAAGTTTTAATGAAATTATTGCCAACATTAAAGCTTTAGTCTTTGTAATGTAATAAGTTAATTATAACGGCGAAGTTGCTAATTGTAATTTAAATAATAATATAGGACACTTGTAATTAAGGCTTTGTGAGCTGGCATGGCGCGACGAGACTTTGCCCCGACGCGCCGCAACGAACATTCACTACCCTCTCTCACTCTGCCCCTTCCCCCCCTCTCTCTCTCTCTCTCTCGATCCCTATATTCCTAGTATCCCAAATAAAATGCATTTAAAGAAATTGCTATGATACTCATACTAAAATTAAATCATGAAATTGTGAAAGAAACAAAATATTGCTCAAATATTTCGCAAATGAGGGATGGTAAGACCCCGTTGTAGAAATTAGAGCATTTAAGTATACATAAAGTAAAATCCGACATTCCCTCTCATTTACAGGATGTCAATAAAATTAACAACTATTTTGCCAATAGTATTTCAGACCATCCGATTCAGAATTTTATTTAAAACTGATGACGGCGTTGCGTAAGAAGTGTGAAGTCAACTCAATTGTCGCCATTTTGTTACTCCCAGCTGCACCGTTACTGAACAGATTTTCAAAAAAATATCAAGCTGTTTTGCCCTTGGCATAGTAGTGTGTGTGTGTGTGAAAATTTGATCTAAATCCGAGCCGTACTTCCCAAGTTATAGCATCTAAAAGACGTGATATCTCATTTCGCGATTACAATACTTCCCGACCAGTAGCGTAGGAAGTAAAACATAAGTTGACCTTGAAGTAACCTCAAAGGTGAGATTCAGTTTGAAATACAAGGTCACCATTGAACTTATTGTTCAAAATTAGTAAGGAACCGACCTTGACATTTTTAAAAATACCGTACCTGGGAAAATAGAGAGCAGTTCTGTTAGTTTTGTTACACCCGGTATGTATTTTCTAGTCTATGAGTCCGACAAACTTACATATATGCAATGAAACATTTCGGCGAAATTTAAGGATAATCGAAGAAGATGAAAGAACCTCTTTTATGACCATGACCAAAGCGAAAAGAGCTTGTCTCAACGTAAAGCAACTCTACATTATTTGTCAGGGTATAATGGCCTACTTTCTACGGCATCTTGAAGTAGTGTTATTTTTGAATCTTCTTATTAATTTTCCATGACATTGGTACTATCTATTTACTATTTCGTTTATTTGCACCAGATCTGAGCGCAAGAATTCTCGTAATAAAAGGTAACGTATGCTATTAAAGACTTGTACCGAGGTGTCAGGACTCCCAGATGACCAGTACGCCACTGGTTATAAATAACAAAATCGATAGATCGAGCTTTTATTTAGTTGTAGGGTATTATCGAAGAGGATGTATCTAGTGAAAAATTAAATTAAGAGTAATAGAAAAGCATGAGCTGCAGTTTCTATTGAAGCTAGAGTATAAAGGCGCACAACTAGATTTTCTCTTGGATTATAAGTTTTATATCTGCTATAGTTTAGATAGTTGATACAGTATAGCTAGATATAACATTTAATATCTTACGAGTGTATTACAAAATCTTAAACTATAATATGAGGACCACTAGTGGTTCTGTCGGGCTACTTGCAACAATTTCAATGGACATGTAACAGTTACTTGAAACAATATCATTCAAAACAATCAGTATCCGAAGATGTATTCAATAATCCTGCACATCAAGCTGTTGATCCTGTATTTTGTTCTTCATATTTTGCTGTTGGGCCATTTTACAGTTATCTGGTAATCCCCGAAGCGCCTTACAAGTAGCAGCATAGAGTAATTACACTCGAATTGTATTTCGTTCACGCTACACGGAGCACATTATAATATAAAGAGCGTATTTATACCGCGACGACGGACATTCAGGTATGAAGAAGCCAGAAGCGGAAGAAAAAGCGTTTACAACGTTTATAGAGTATTTTGTAAATAGGAGCGAGAAAGCTCTTATCGGTTTGCTGAGATCTCAACCGAGCTATTGCCGTATAACAACTGATACAAGGGTTAGTAAAATATAACTA